AAAGAGGGAATGGGATCAGGAAACACATCCCTGTCCCCAGCACCTCCCTCTGCTCCCCAGCCCAGGCCACATCCCGGCCTCTCCTCCCTGGATCTGCTCCATCCACTCCGTCCCCCACCACAACCCTGTGGAAGGTGAGAAATAACCCCTGATTTCCTGGGAATTCCCAGCCCAGCAGGGGGATAACAGCGGATTCCCACTGGGATTCACCTCACAGGGATGGGGGTGAGGCAGCAAATCCCAACCCTGCCGGCAGCTTCCCCTGGGAAAGGCAGCGAGGAGAACCGGGATGGGACACGGGAAGGGGAGCGGGGGCTCCGTGTGCTCCATCCCAGCACGGATTTATCCCACTGGAGATCCTGATCCAGGGGAAAAAGGCCTCACCCCTGGGTGGGTCTGTGTCCCTGCAGGGTGTGGAAATAACCACCAACCACCGGGATAATGGATCGGATAAAAACACCGGGAGCAGCAAAAGGGAGGGAGTGACTCAGCTTCCCCAGGATGCTGCTGGATTTACTCACTCCCTCGCTTTTGGAAGGTGTTAAATGGGAATCTGACCTTTGGATCCAACCCAGCACATGACAGGATGGGCTGGAGCCCAAAATGCTGCCCTTCCCTCCTGTCCCCACATCCCATTCCCAGCTGGGGACACTGAAAACGTCACCTGGCTCTTGGCTGTGGCCTGGATGTGGCTCTGACTCCCTCACTCTGTCTCTCCCCATCCATGATGGGTACAGGGAGCCCTTGGGATAACCCACAGGACCCCCACCAGTCCCTCCCCATCCATGAGGGAGGCAGAGAGCTCTCAGGGATGCCCCATGGGACCTCATCCTTGATGGATACAGGGAGCCCTCGGGGTCCTCCAGAGAATCCCATCAGTCCCTCCCATCCATGGAGCCCTTGGAATCCTCCATGGGATCCCACCAGCCCCTCCCATCCATGAGGGATGCAGGGAACCCTTGGAATCCCCCTCAGAACCACATCAGTCTCTTCCCATCCATGAGGGATGTAGGGAGCCCTTGGAATCTCACACAGGACCCCATCAGTCCCTCCCATCCATGATGGATACAGGGAGCCCTTGGAAT